AAAAATAAAACCCCACCTTGCAAAAGCTGACCTCGTTGCATGGAATTAAAAGAGAAGGAAAAACACAAGGATGAAGTCCTTCTGAATTCATTCTTGTGGGAACTGGCCTTCAGAGCCAGCCAGCACTTTGGGCAAATGCAAACAACAATGAGTGCTTGAGATAAAAGAAAGTGTGACGTCATGGTCACTGGAACTCAGGCACTTCACAGTTTACTTGAAAGAGGCTTTGGAAAATAGATAAAGTGAAAGAAGAATAAATACATATTTTTAATAATGTAATTTTAAAAATCCTTTATAATCAGGACTCAGTCTTGGTTTGCAGAAGCTGTCATCTACCCTGAAACACAGTATCAAAAGGGAAACTTACAACATACTGTTTGATTTTTTTAGTCCCTCTTACAATCCATGTTTTCAGATAGAATTATGACTTTCCCCCCACTGTTACACATTTCTTTACAAAGGAGACCTGTAGAAATGGGACATGATCATGCTTGAGCATGTGAGTTCGTCAAATTATGAGGCCATGCCTATTGTCCATTACACACCGAATGTTAATTTAAGAACCAGAGGCAGAAGTTCTGGCTTCCTGTTTGAAACCCAATTCCTAGATGAAATTTTTTAAAAGCAGAAACCTAGCAGCCCAGCTGCTTTTTCTCTTTCGTCGGTGTATTTGGTACCCCTCCAATGCTGGTCTTTTTGTAGAAACTCAGTAGAGAAAGTCTAGCTAAGCAGTGTTGAAAAGCCTGCAAGATTTCAGTTTACATATCGACAGCATATTCACTGATTTCTAAATGGGCTGGTCCCATCATCTGAAGATTCTGTATAGAATTATTAAAAAAAAAAAATCCATCTTTCTTTATTTTCTTCACATGCGACAATTTCTTAAGCACTTTGACATTTTGGTAGTTCCACACTATTGAGAGAATAATATATTTATTTTGTGACATTGCAGATGCCAAATACTGTAACCTTCTCGTGATAACAATACTTAGGTTCAACATCACTGTTCAAACCCTGTCATGCTTTAAAACTGATGCGAGATGATTTTGTTTTTTGCATAATCAATACTTAAGGGTGCAATCAACTGTTAGTAATTGTGCAGTAAAGTAAAGCCCTGTGGTGTATCAACTACTAGTTAAGAGTCTCAGTTGATTTCTGTAATGTTTGACCTAATATTAACCCATTTTGTCTCTGACCTAACAGAGGAAGCACAGATCAAATCACCTTGGAGTGGTCACCGGGGGGACAGGGAGCCCCGACCAATGTATCAATGGGTGATTTATGATGCCTTCTGCCCTTTGGCGAGTGAATGGGTTTCCCATAGGGGAAGTTGGCCTCCCTTCGTGAGCTTTGGAAGTGTTTTCTAATAGACACAGGGAGGCCAGTTTTGTTTCAGAGCAATTATCTTCCCAAATTCTCTGTTCTGGTGTTGGGACTGTGTGCCCTGGTTTCTGTTTTCCTTTCTACTGCTGTAATTCTCTGTCTCATCATCCTCCTTTTTGTTTCCATAGCCTTTTATAATGCATATATGATGCTGTGAACAGAAATAAATTATTTATACAATCAAACGACTGGGGAGATTTTCTGTGGTTTTTTTTTTTTTTTTTTTTTTTTTTTTTTTTTTTTTTGACGTCGCTGGTATTCATTCTCTAGACCTCTGCTGAGTGAGGGGATGGATCACAAGATGGTGTCTGGAGTTCTAATCGGTTCTAGGGCTGTATCAGTCATCTCTGGATTTTTGGTATCAGGGTCTAGGTCTGCCGTGCATGGTGGATCTGGACGCTAAAATGCAGGAGTCTCTATGCATTTGAGATACGTTCACTTGTGCCTGCCCTTCGGCTGGGTGCCTTCCACTGAGTCATCCCAAATCCTTTAGGAAAATGGCCTCAATGTCTAGCCCTTCCTCAGCACTCTCATTTACTAAAAAGGTCATTAATTGGTAATTACTTCAAAAATGTAATTTTATAAAATTGGAAATAGCTATGTGCTAATATAAGAACGCTGGAAGTTACAAAGCTACTCTATCTTGGCTGTGTCTCTCTGCTCAGTACCTGGGCTGAGTCCATGATTTTTGAGTCCAAGGCTTGAGCTCTCTAAAATAGCAGGTGTAGTAAGACCCTCACACTCTGTAGACTCTGCAGAGAAAAGGTCCACTTTCTAGAGAAAAATGCGACTGGGCCAGAACCAATAGAACCTTGAATGGGTGCAATGGGTAGCACCTGGAGGCACCTGGCAGGTGTTAAGCGACAGGCTTAATTGTTACTAAGTGATGATTAAGACCCCAGTGGGGTGTGGGGTCTCTTAAGCATGGAGCCCAAAAGAGCCAGTTCCAAATTCTGGCTCAAGTGCCTAGAGCCCTGTGATTTTGCTCAAGTCATTTCCCTCTGAGCCTCAGTTTCTCATGTGTAAAATGGGATCATCATTGTGCCTCAAAGCATTGTTGGGAGGATGCAGCAGGATAATACAGGTGAAGCGCTCGGCCCCATGCCTGGCACACAGCAAGTGCTCAATAGCTTTAGATTTGTTGTTATTGGCTGCCAACAACATGAGGAACGTGTGATAACCTAACCTTCCTGCAGGCCTTTAAGTCAGGTGCTTGCACTCTCCCTTTCAGCCATACTTCTTGGTATCCTCATCCCACTAAAACCTAGGCTGCTGACTCTGTGCTCGGGCCGGAATGGAGTGAAAAACAAGCAGCTGGAGACTCTGATCAACCCAGGTGGTCTTCTCCTCCAAAGGTGTGAGAGGCTGAATTAGGTGTCAAACTTAGGTTGCCAGATTCTTGAATTCATTACTTTTCATACATCCCATATCACTAGGCTGTGATTCCCTCAAAGCAGGGAGATCTTTAATTGCCGGTGCCTAGCATAGTACTGAGGATATAGCAGTTGCTCAGTAAATATTGGCTGAATGACTTAATTCCTGTCAATTAGTCACAAACTTTAGGCATTAAATAAAATTACTATCTCCTATTAAATATTTAAACGAAAATAGACAAAATGGTATTCTTCCAGATCAGTATTATGAGATGAATCATTGCTCCAACCAAGCGTGTTGAAACTTACACATTGGTGAACACATTTGTGGGTTTAGAGGTTTTTCTTTAAAAATGAGCATGGCTTGACTTTAGTAATTCACATTGCTGCAGGAACTAATTATTGGGACCTAGATTACATCAAAAGGCACGGATGCTGTTTCTGAAACCTAAAAAACAGCTGAAAAACCAGTTAGGAACTATTGTGGCTCCCTAGGAGTAAAAATGTTGAGAATCAAAAGAAGCAAAGACCAAAACCCTTGCTTTATGGGGCGACCTTAATTTAACCTTGATTCAACAAATACATTCTTGGGGAGCTGAGTGACATGTGATACTTAGACAACATCAATCATTTTTTGTTTTCTAGAAAATTAACTGCAAGTGACCCCATCCCTGACCCCTAGTAACCAAGGAGGTTGATGTTAATCCAAAGCCACTGTCCTATTTCCCCCAGTCTGAACTTTTCCTTCACGGTTTTGATTCTTCATTTATAAGGTTTTTTTGGTAGACCAGGGACGCCTGGCCTTACTGTTTTGTGTCTTTATGCTTGTCTCCAGAGCTTGGGTTCTTGGAACAATCCTGTTACCAGCGTTAACTGTTAGACTGTTTTGATGTCACGATCATGTGGTAGCAAGGAAGGACAAAATTATGTGCATACAACTGATGTGAACATTAAAGGTTTGACATGAAAAAAGTAAGAAGAGAACAAACGCAGAACTTGACAGTCCTTGATTTAGCAGCTCTCTGGCTGCCCAGCTGAATAACCTCTCTTCTGCTTTGCGTCCTGATGTAGGTCTGATGCCCACAGCTTGGCATTTGCCTGCCAGGAAGGAATCCGCCATCTCAGTTGATACGCAGGCATTTCTCTTCTCTCCTCATTCGGCTGTCTCGTACATGTTCACTTATCCTTAAAACAGCCCTCTCCTTCTGGCTCTCCCTGGCTCAGCTGAAACTCGTTTAAAATAGAATTTGCACAAGACGTTGGAGGATTTTATACATTTGTTTTGCACCAGTTCTGAACTTAAGCGTGGGGCTGCGTCAGTTTCAGAGAGGAACTTGCAATGTGAGGGTTTCTGAGAAAGTCGCCTGTTGTTTCTTCCCCAAGATTAGAAGTGAGAATGAAAGATCTGTGTTACTTACTCCACCTAAGTTCTCAGAATATGCAGTGGCTTTCTTTGAATGGTACCACCTGACATGCAACTCTGGGCGTGAACTGCTCCTAATGCAGAATGTAACTGTGACTGCATTCTGCATGGAGCATGGCAGCATGGCATGAAAGACGTAACCAAAACAAGCAATTTTTAAAGTTGTTTTTATAGCATGCCTTTTAGAAGGCAAGCATCTCATTTGCATTTGTTAATTAAAATTACTCTAGCGTAGTACCATTAAGCACAGCCCAGTTTATAGTCCCTGTTAGTCCTAGATGATCATAGTAATAGCCATGGCAGCCTTTACTGAGTGCTTAGTATATGCTAGGTACCATGCTAAGTGCTTCAGATGCTTAATAACTTTTCCTCCCAAAGGCCCCAAGATACCAACTCATTTTATTTGCACTTACAGATGAGGAAACCGAGGTTAAGAGGAGATTAGCTAATGTTCTGCAAGGGTGGAACTAGTTTAAGCCCCAGGTCCCTTCAACCCAAGGGCTGGGCTCTTGGAGGCTCCACTAACCTGCTGCTCTTAGATCGGGAAGGTTCTGCAGTTTAAAAAAATATGGAGCTCTGGGCCAACCACGGTGGCTCACTCCTGTAATCCCAGCACTTTGGGAGGCCGAGGCAGGTGGATCACCTGAGGTCAGGAGTTTGAGACCAGCTGGCCAACATGGTGAAACCCTGTCTCTACTAAAACTACAAAAAATTAGCGGGGCATTGTAGCAGGCACCTGTAATCCTAGCTACTTGGGAGGCTGAAGCATGAGAATCTCTTGAACCCAGTAGACGGAGTTTACAGTGAGCCGAGATCGTACCACTGAACTCCAGCCTGGGCGACAGAGCGAGATTCCGTCTAAAAAAATAATAATAAATAAATCTGGTGCTCCGGATCTAGGAAAACGAGGATGGAGGTTTTGTGTTGCCAGCCTGTATCACCACCCTCATGCTGATAACAGAAAGGGTGACCTCCTTCCCTTCCCCCTTCCCCCACCACCAGGTCTCTGCCGACGTCCTAGCACTGCACCTTGCTTTCTCTCCTTGGCACATCCCAGTGTCTAGAAGACAATCCGTCTTGTTTCAGATTCTGTCCCTGAATAATTTTGTTTTCAGTTTTCCTTTCAGGAGTGTTTGTCAGGGACGATGCCTACCCCACACAGGGTGGACAGGGAGGAGTGTCAGGTGTCACTGGGTCTGCATTTGGGGATGTGATCTTGAATGAATCACCTGTCTAACTCCTCTCAACCTCAGACCCCTCAACTACAGGATGAGGCTGAGAATCCCTGTCCTGCTTACCTCTCAGGATTGTTTTAAAGGTAAAATGAAACACTAGATGGAAAAGCACCGTGCAAGCTGCAAGGCAAGTCATACACACGGCAGGGATCCATATGATGCTTCGGCTGTGACCCCTTCTCCCCGCTGATGGCAGGATGCCCACTCCTGCTTGTAGGGGAATTCTGCTGGTCTGTTTTTCACAGACAGGCCAAACAGCCCTAGTGCTTGCTCTCTCTTCATTTTCACTGATAAGACTTCCAGCTCATGGAGAGTAAACCAAAGGAGACTTCCTAAGGGAAAACATCTCTCCTTGCGAGATTCTGGGCTTAGAATCTTTAGTGGAAGTTTCCAGTAAGTGACTGTGGGGGAAACAAGCCTCCTCTATCTGTGGTTTGCAGAATTCTGATTCTTCTAATGGCTACTCCTGAATGTTTCCATTTCCTTAAACGCTAACTCACTGTGCAGTTAATTTCAACTGCCTATGCCTCATAACAACTAAAAAAACTACACTTGTGACATTTAAAAGCCATCATGGTAAGTAATGATGATTGCAACAGTTTATTTCATAAATATGTGTTTGAATCCATTACATGAATGAAAATTTGCATTGCTATGTCATTTGAAGTGTGCTGGGATGCTGTGTTTATTGAATAAAAAAGGCTTCCAAAAACAGTATGGACAGCCAATTGTGACACCCACAATATTAGAGAGACTGTGATATAGGCGAAGTGTTTGTCCTCAGAGGGCTGATATTCTGGTAGGTGAGTCAGGCCTAAATGCTCAAGTGAGGTGCTTGACTCCAGTGCAAAGCATCCATCATTTTACCACAGAGAAAGTCACACATTTAACCAAACCCACCATTGCAAGTCACACCAGCCTTGGAGTAGAGCCGGAAGCAATGTATGTTCCCAAAGCGTATTACTCTGTGGTCCCGGTACCTGCAATGTGAAGAATTCTGCCCCCCTCAAAATCCTTCTCCAACTCTTTCAGAGATTTCCTGGGGCAGGGAGGGATGTTCATTGTACATGTGTCCTCAGCCTCCTCCACTTCCTTTCCTGCCCTGACCCCTGGAGGGAGTTTTACAGGTTTTTGAGAAGCTGATCATCAGGGTCAGCATGATGGCCCAAACTGCTGGTCCCAAACACTGGTGACCCCACCTGGGTCTGCCCCATTCTCAATGTCCAGCAGGTATTTCTGGGGCCTGGCTCCTCAGTGTCTGCTCTTGCACAGAAGGAACACAGGAATCAAAGAGCCCAGGGATTATCTGAGTGTCTGATGCTGTGCCATCCCAGAATCCCCCTTTTATCTGACACTGGCTCTCTCTCCTGGAGCCTTTCTTGGGTGTATCAGCCCACTAGTCCCCTCCATGGAGTTCTTCCCAAGAGATGCCTTAGCTGATTAGAAATCCTGGGATGGATGGGAATCTTGGTGTGGGCCCAGCTCAGGGTTCTAAACCAGGGCTCCATCAACCTCAAGGGAGATGTGTGGTCTGCCTGCAATCTGGTTGCTGTCATAGAGTTAAGAATTTCCTGCAGAAGTATTGAGAATGACCACTTCCCCCTGAAATCCGGGCTGTGTCTTAATTCTGCTCTTCCTGCATTTGGTTGTATAGATAACTGGATGCTGGAATCAGAGATTAAAGGATCTGATGTGGGGTGAAGGCCTCAGAAGGAGATACTGCAGGTAATCTATACAGATCAATATCTTATCGTCTTGCTGGCAGGACCCTGATTTTGCTTGGATGGCACCTTCTGTCTCATGGTTGTGTATTCAGAAAAGGCTACCCTATCCCCAGCTTTAAAAGAAATTAGTATCAACCATAAAATCAATCACTGCTGTTGCCTGCAATTTGCTTAGGATAGGCCATGTTGCCATTCTGACCAATGAGGATGAAAGGAAAGGCTTTTTGTAGAAGAGAGAGTGGGTGGGCTTTGGAAAAAAAAAATTTATTTTGGAAAATGAGACATAGAGACCATATGGCTCTCCTTTGCTGCCTCTGAATTTCAGTGAATGAAGATGTGATGCCTGGAGTGACTGCAGCCATCCTGATACCACGAGGAGAGCCAACCCAGACACTAAGGATGGCAGAAAGGAAATATGAAAGGAACGTGGGTCTTAGAAAATGTCATCGAACTGCTGAAATAACCAACCCAGGACTGCCTGAACTCAGGGCTTGGGATTTCAGCTACCCTTCAGAGACCATCACCAACCCTGACGTTGCAAAAACAATGAGAGCTCCCCACAAGAGCTGCCACGTGAGAGAAGCCTCTCCACCCCCTCTGTGTGTGACAACAGGTCACAAGCAGATGGAAACCTGCCTTGCTTAGCCCAGTCTGGGGGAGTGGAAGGACTGACTGCTCCCAGCCTGGTTTGACAATTACTGCCAAGGAGCCAAGGATGTTCTGGCCACAAGAGTGTAATTCAGAGTAAACAGCTGAGAACGTCATTCATTGTTAAGCCCTTTACCACCGCTCATTTTCTCAAAAGAAATTATTCTGATAATATTAATTACTGCCATTCATGGAGTGTTTGTTTTATACTAGATGCTGAATTGAGCACTTGACAGTCATCTCAGAGACATTTAATCCTCTCTGAAGCACTATGAGGTAGGCATATACTTCCTGTCTGCACCAGCTGCCTCCTTTGGATAGACAGACAGACAGACAGATAATCTTGAAAACAAAGGTCAACCACTTTTGGAGTGTCAAGCACTGAGCCAATCACATTAGATGGGCTGTTCTTCTTACCCCTGACAATAAACATCATGGAATCAGGACTAGTTTTATCATTAGCCTCACTACAGAGATACAGAAACAGGCTTGGAGGTGCTGGGTGCCTTGCCAGGGTCACAGTGCTACTATGCAGAGTGAGGATTTGAACGCAGGCAGTTTGACCTCAGAGCCTGTGCACCTGCCATGAGGCAGCTCTACATGGCCCTGAGCTGGAAACTGGCACATGGCAGGTACCCCAGGATATCTGTCTCATGAATGGACTCCTAATTGGTGCAGCGTCTGCCATTGCAGCTGAGAAGGGCCGCACAGGGATCTCTGAACCAGCGCCTTTCAAATCTGATGGGCATACTTACTGCCTGCCTGGGGATTCTGCTGTATCCTGCATCCTGAGTTGGTGGGGCTGGGGTGTGTCATAAGATTCTGCTTTTCTAGTAAGTTCCCAGTGAGCCTGATGCTGCTGTTTCCTGAATGCATGCATCAGAGCATTCATTCATTCTTCGGGAGTTGCCAGACCTTGACTTTGTATCATGCCAACACCTCAGAAGATTTCGTGCCTCAGCCATGTTTCTCTGGTCCCTTTAAAGCAGCAGCTGTCAACCATGGGTGATTTTTGTCCTCCAGATGCAATGGCAGTATCCTGAAACATGCTTGGGCGTCACCACTACGGGGAGGGGGCTACAGGCATTAGGTGGGTAGAGGCCAGGATGCCACTGAACATCTTACAGTGCCTGGGACAGCCCCCCAAACAATGATCTGGCCCAGAATGTCAATAGCACTAAGGTCGAGGAACCCTGCAGGAAGTCTTTGCACTGGCAGTTCCCCCTCCCTAGGACACTTGTCCCCCAAGGGACTGCCTGGCTCCATCCTTCCTTTCCTTTGGGTCTTTGCTCCAACTTCCCCTTCCAGGCACGGCCTTCCCCAGCCTCATTTTAAATTGTAACTCCCATCTCTCACTGTCTCTCCCCTCCCTGCATCATTTTTCTCCATGGAACATAATTCCACTGACATAATATGCATTTTCCTCAATTATTTGTTCATTGCCTGTCTCTCTTATGTGTTAGTTTCCCACTGCTCCTGTAAAAAAATGTCCACAAACGTAGTGGCCCCCAAATAACACAAATGCATTCTCGTACAGTCCTAGGAATCAGATGGCCTCAAATCCAGGTGTCAGCAGAGGTTGTTCCTTCTGCAGCCCCAGGGGAGAGTGTTCCTCGCCTTCTCCAGCTTCTGAAGGCTGCCCACGTTCCTTGACTCATGGCCTCCCTTTTATTAGGTTGGTGCAAGAGTAATTGGAGTTACTAACGGTAAAAAATGCAATTACTTTTGCACCAACCTAATATCTTCAAAGCCAGCCGCAAATCTCTTCTGCACCTTCAAATCTCTCTCTGACTCTGGCCTTTCTCTTATAAGAACCCTTATGAAGACATTGGGCCCACCCAAATAATCCAGGACAAACTCCCCACCTCAAGGTCCTCAGCTTAATCACATCCACAGTGTTCTTTTTACCATGTGGGGTAACATATTCACAGGTTTCAGCAATTAGGACATGAGCATTTGGGGGACCATTATTCTGCCCACCACCCCCTCCTAGAATGAAAGCACCACAGAGGCAGAGAGTTTTATCTAACGTGTTGATTTCTAAATCCCCAGAGCCTAGCACGGGGCCTGGTACTTAGCAATACTCATGTATTGGATGATGAATAACCGTTGGTTTTCAGAAGAAATAAATAGAACACCAGAAGCAACAGAAGACACCCCTCCCACCTTGAAAATATGGCTCAGCTGTAAGAGTCAAACCTTAATGTCGATTTGCTGTGGATGAGTATCGGTATATAAGAAGGAAACTTAAAGAGACAGGCTACTGTCCTGGCCAGAGTTAGAGCTGGACAAAGCAGTCAGTGGATCCACATAAGGATGGTGTCCACCCACAAGGCCCAGGCCAGCCAAGAAAGCGTGGAAAATAGGAGACCCCAAGAGACGCTGGCAGCAGAGACCTCACTCTTTCAACAGCCAGTGTGGCCACCGATGGCTGCCATGGCTTTCCTACGTGGGGTGAGAAAGCCTGGACAGCAGACACAAATAAATGCCCCGTTGGCAGGTACAACTCTAACTGCAAATTAACCCGCGGACATTTTGGTTTGTGAGTTGGTGTGTTAGTTTCCCAGGGCTGCCATGGCAACGTGCCACAAACAGAAGGGCTTTGGCAACAGAACTGTGTTGTCTCCTAGTTGTGGAGGCTAAAAGCCTGAGACTGAGGTGTCAGCAGGGCTGGTTCCTTCTGAGGCCACCAGGGCATGTGTTCCAGGCCTCTCCCCCAGCTTCTGGTGGTTTGCTGGTAATCTCTGGTTTTCCTGTTTGTGGCAGCATCACCCCAACCCTCACATGACATTCTCCCTGTGTGCATGTCTCTGTGTCCAAATTTCACTTTTTGTGAGGACATGATCATGTTGGAATAGGGCTCACCTAGTGACCCCATCTAAACTTGATCATCCTCAAAGACCCTATTTCCAAATAAGGTCTCATTCACAGTACGAGGGGTTAAGACGTCAATATCTTTTGCAGGGGATGCCATTCAACCATAACTCAGGTTTCTGTGAATTGAGACATCGTGAATGTGAATCTCCAAGTTTAATTAGCTTCGAGACACCAGGAAACCACGAACTATGGGGAAGTCCTGACAGAATGCACTGAGGACAGCTGCCTGTTCACTGATTACACCTGGCCCGGTACCCACTTCCCATTCAGCCTCCTACATTCGCAGGGAGCTTTCATCTTGTTGATATTACATAATGTTTTATAGCTGAGTTTCAGGGTAAAAATCTGGGCTAAAATGCTACATTGGCTGGGAGTGGTGGCTCACGCCTATAATCCCAGCACTTTGGGAGGCCGAAGCGGGTGGATCACCTGAGGTCAAGAGTTTGAGACCAGCCTGACCAACATGGCAAAACCCTGTCTAATAAAAATACAAAAATTAGCCGGACATGGTGGTGCATGCCTGTAATCCCAGCTACCTAGAAGGCTGAGGCAGGAGAATCATTTGAACCTGAGAGGCAGAGGTTGCAGTGAGCCGAGATCACGCCATTGCACTCCAGCCTGGGTGACAGAGCGAGACTCTGTCTGGAAAAAAATTTAAAAAATGCTATCTTGAGATGTAACATATTGGCATAAATATATGAATGCAGAAAAATAAGCCTGCTATCCCAGGAGTGAGGTAAGTCAAATCCCACAGTGAGGAGATAACTAGGAGATATGCATGTCACCATGCTTAGATGGATTTTTACTTAAAATGAGAAATATGGTATGAATTAACAAAAATGCCAGGAGAGACAGTGTAACCTCAGAGCAGGTGGCAGTTTTGGAATCAGGCCTGTGTACACTCAAACTGTAGCTCAGGTTCATAACTGCTGTGTGACCCAGGGTAATTTTCTTAACTTTTCAGAGTCCACATCCGTAGAAGATGCTAAATAAATGAACAATATTTTCATTCCATTCCTGTCACTTATTAGCTGTGTGACCCTGAGCAAATTGTCAGATGCTCACTCAGCCTGTTTCCCTGTATTTAAATTGGTGCACAGGACCTACCTCACAGAGCCGCAGGTACTAAGAATAACCTATCACGAGACACAGATGCTCCTGAAGGAACCGTGTATGTGACATTTGTGACAGCCCCTAAACCTTGGTGGGATGTTAATTCTTCAACAAGATTGGAGGATCTGCTCCAAAAATAAATGCAAATAAGATTCTACTATTTTATATGGAAATGTGAAAACTAAGACATGGAGATCACTCCTCTTGTTAGTAATGTTAGTGAATATAACATCTTTTTTTTTTTTGAGTTGGAGTTTCTTGTTGCCCAGGCTAGAGTGCACTGGCGCAATCTTGGCTCACTGCAACCTCCGCCTCCAGGGTTCAAGCGATTCTCCTGCCTCAGCCCTCCCAAGTAACTAGGATCACAGGCATGTGCCACCTCACCTGGCTAATTTTGTATTCTTAGTAGAGACAGGGTTTCTCCATGTTGTCAGGCTGGTCTCAAACTCCCTACCCAGGTAATCCACCCGCCTTGGCCTCCCGAGGTGCTGGGATTATAGGCATGAGCCACCTTGCCCTGCCTATAAAATCATTTTGTGAGAAAATCAAGTTAACCCTCATCATGAATTTCTCCCTGTTCAACTCAATAAGATACTCTTCATCTCAAGAGAAACTTTTATAGATGTGGCAATAGAAACCCAGCATATAAGACAGCCATTAGGTTGTCCCTTATACACTTTGCAGGGTGAAAATGTCTCTGCTAAAGGTAGTGATATAAGCAAAAATCATTTACTTTTAGCTAATTTAACCAATTATGACGCAAAAAAATACTATCTTCAGCAAAAAAGACAACCTAATTTAAAAATGGGCAAAGAATTTGAATAGACATGTCTCCAAAGAAGATATACAAATGGCCAATAAACACACGAAAAGATGCTCAACATCATTAGTCATTTCTGGATTGCAGATAAAACCACAATGAGACACCATTTCACACCCCTGAGGATGGCTATAATTTTAAAATAAAAAACAAAAACCAGGAAAACGAACGTTTTCATACATTACTGATGAGATGTTAGATGGTGTAGCATCTGTGGAAACAATTTGGCCATTCCTCAAAAAAATCAACAGAATTACCAACGGACTCATCGATCCCTTGCCTAGGTCTCCACCCAAGAGAGTTGAAAGCATGTGTGTTTACAGAAAAACTCATGCATATATGTTCATGGAGCATTATTCATAATAGCCCCAAAGTGGAAACACCCAAATGTCCATTGACTAATGAATGGATAAACAAAATGTGGTATATCTGTACAGCAGAATATTATTCACCGATGAGAAGGAATGAGGCACTGACACATACTACAACACGGATAAACCTAGCAAACATTATGCTAAGTGAAAGAAGCCAGACACAAAAGAACACATAGTGTATGATGCCATTTATAGGAAATGTCCACAATAGGGAAATCAGAGAGACAGAAAGTAGATAAGTGGTGGGCAGGGGCTTGGAGGGGTTGTTGGTGGGAGAGATTGACAGTAGTGGATACAGGGTTTCTTTTCTGGGTGATGAAAATGTTCTAGAACTAGACAGTGATGATGACCACACAGCATTATGAATGCACTCAAAATCACAATGTTGTCTTTTAAAAACATGAATCTCATATTATGTGAATTATATCTCAAGTTTTAAAATTGAAAAAGAAACCATGTGTGGTGGCTCATGCTTGTAATCCCAGTACTCTGGGAGGCCAAGGCTAGTGGATCACCTGAGGTCAAGAGTTTGAGACAAGCCTGGCCAACATGGTGAAACTCTGTCTCTACTACAAATACAAAAATCAGCTGGGCATGGTGCCACATGCCTGTAATCCCAGCTACTCAGAAGACTGAGGCAGGGGAATCACTTGAACCCAAGAGGCAGAGGTTGCCGTGAGCTGAGATCATGCCACTGCACTCCAGCCTGGGCGACAGAGCGAGACCGTCTCAAAAACTAAAAATAAATAAAATTGAAAAAGAAAAAACCCACCAAACATAGTACCTTATCTGATGAGACTTGTCATCTTGAAAGATCCTTAGGAACGGATTCCTTTCTAGTCAGCCTGATGAGAATGATAAGTGATATCTCTGTTTACTTTTTTGTACCCAGTAGAGAGTGCCATTCTTATACGACTAACTTTGAACAGCCAAGGAAAATGATATCCCAGGCAGATTTAATTAAGTTCTTAATGAGGGCTTGTTTGAGTTTCTGTTATCCACTGTAATTGCTACAGTTGGGCTCTTGAGTACTAAATCACATTAGAGGGTTCCTCTGGTAAGACTCAAGGGTGAACAGGCCTGGGAGAAAAAAAAAAAGAAAAAAAAACAGCCTGGTGCCACTGACCAATGATTTCTAACATTTCTCCTTTCATCTTTCAGATCTTAGGTTTTCACAATCCCAGAAATATGCACTGATTCCAGAACAGCACTCCATGGTACAGGCTGTGACTTTGCAGTTTGTCTTACAGTAAAGTTAGGATGCTGATTCCGATTGCAGGTGCTTTGCCAAATGAAAGCATTTGAATGTCTACCTGTGTGCCCATTTACACTCTCAGACTCCTATAAGGAACTCATTCATCATTGTAAATCAGCCAAGGACTCGACAGTCTATAAAAAGGGTTCTTGAGTTTCCAAGCTGTTCTTCCTTGCTGTGCACATCACTCTTTGTGTCTGGATCTTCTTAAACTCAGATTAACTCTAGTCTGTCTGGTTCCCTTTCAGGATTATGATCAACACCATTCGAGTCAGACATTAATCTACCGCTCCTACTGACTTGCTCCGGAATGAACACATTCTACAGATCTTTGCTTCTCAAACTGTAATACGCAAAGGACTCACCTGGGGCACTTTCTAAAAAACACCAAGTCTTGTTCATTAGGCCCAGGTGCGGCCCAAACTTCTGTACTTTTAACAAGCTGCCTGGTGATGCTAATGCTGCTGGTCTGAGTAGCAAGGAACGAAGCCATGGTTTCTGTATTGCAGAAGACAGATGCACTGCGTGATAGGCTGCCCTCGCATGTACCCTTGCTAAGCCCAGTGTAAAGGGTGAATGCTACAGAAGGCAAATGCATGCCCATACCGGGAAAGCACCTGGAAAATGTGCAGCTCTGCCTTCACCAAGTGGATATTGCAATGGCCTCTGCCAGCACATGGGGCTGGAAGGGAAATAGCCATACCAGTTTGTTGCTAGTATGGCCTCACATATTCATGAGACTTGTTTTGTCAGATTTCAAGGACGTCTCTCAGTATCCATGACTTTCCTAATCTTTTGTTTTTGTTTTTGTTTTTTTAGAATGTCAAGACACTTGGACCTTGGAATAGCTGCATGCATGACCCGAGGCAATGTGCAGTTTCAAGAGATACTGGCAGTCAGTACCTACACCCGACATCACAGCCCCTCCTGGTCCCTTCCACACCCACTGAGGCAGAATCTCCCTGTGCCCCTGCACACTCACGTGTCTCCGCTTTCTCAGCCCCATGGATTGAGATTGGATCATACCACTGACTCTTACCAATGTAACTAGAGGGAAAAAGGACAGTTCCAAGAGAATGTCCATTCTTCTTTCTTCCATTACCCTCTGGAGAGGGGAGTGGAGAGCAATGGATTCTAAGATAACTGAAGGAGGCCGGGTGCAGTGACTCATGCCTATAATCCCAGCACTTTGGGAGATCAAGGTGGATGGATCACTTGAGGTCAGTAGTTTGAGACCAGCCTGACCAACATGGCAAAAACCCGTCTCTACCAAAAATACAAAAATCAGCTGGGCTAGTGGCACATGCCTGTAATCCCAGCATTTGGTAGGCTGAAGCAGGAGAATTGTTTAAACCTGGGTGGTGGAAGTTGCAGTGAGCTGAGATCGTGCCACTGCACTCTAGCCTGGGTGACAGAGTGAGACTGTCTCAAAAACAATAAAACAAAATAAAAAATAATATAACTGAGAGGCATGATGAGAATTGCCTGGAAGCCAGAGTCACTTCTTCCTAGAGTCACTCTGCTCAGTCTGCAGCCAACTGTGATGTGAGCTAGACAAAAACCTCTGTTGTGTTGTGCCACTGAGACTTTAGAGTTTATCTGTGGACATAGCAAAGCTTAGCATGATTAGCATTGAACACCTACCCACTCCACCGACCACCACAAGAACCCACAATGCCAGGCCAGCTGTTGGTTATTAGATGGTTGGTGACAAAGAGTCTGTGCATGCAAAATTTTCTCTAATTTCTGGGCATATGTTCTCAGGGGTCTTGTTCAACCACCTTCTATTTCTTACTTTAAAAACATTTTTTTCTTCTTTAGAGTGTGGGACAGGGTGTGTTTCTTTGTGGTCCAGGTGGAATGAAGTGGTGTGATCATAGCTCACAGCCACCTCGACTTCTTGGGCTCAAGACATCCTCCTACCTCAGCCTCCTGGGTAGCTGGGACTACAAGCATGAGCCAACACACCGAGCTAATTTTTAATTTTTTAGACAGAGACAGAGTTTTGTCATCTTTCCCAGGCTAGTCTTGAACTCCTGGGCTCAAGTTGTCCTCCCCTTTGGCCTCCCAAAGTGCTGGGATTACAGGCCTAAGTCCTCAAGTCTGGCCTATTTCTTACTTTTTGTGACACAGTGCACTGCCCACTGGCACTTCCAGGTCCTCTTAATCTTTTGGCATCGAGGGCAATGCTTCTCAAAGGTCAGCGTCAGGCAAGCATCAAGCTTATTTCAATCTTTTGTTTCGCTGGCTGGCATGTATGATTATACTCCACCACAAATGAGACTAGTATCAAAGCTGGTGCTGGGGGTCAGTGGGCAGTGAAAGCTTGTCTTGGTAGGTGCATTCACTACCTGTGGCTGCTGTAGCAATGACCACACATTGGGTACAACAACAGAGCAACAGAATCACAATAAGAGGTGAATCCACTCACAGCTCCGGAGACTAGAAGTCTGAAACCAAGGTGTGGTCATGGCTGGTTCCTTCTGGAAGTTCTGGGGGAGACACTGTTCCAGGCCTCTCTCCAGCTTCTGGGGGCTTCCGACAGCCCTCAGCATTCCTTGGCTTAAAGAGGCATCACCCCAATCTCTGACCTTCTCCGTATCTCTCTCACCCCTTCTCTTCTCTTACTAGGACACGGGTCAATGCATTGAGGGCTGGTTCTAAATCCAAGATGACCTCATGTCAAGATCCTCAACTTCATTACACCTTCAAAGACATTTTTTCCAAAGAAGGTCTCATCCACAAGTTCTGGGTGGACATACCTTTTAGGAGGTCACCACTCCACCTGCTACAGAAGCCAATGAGAAGAGGCAAAACCCAAACAACTTATTGAAATATTCACAGAGCTTTGTAAGCTGGGAGGACACCATCTGGCTCAAGCCCATTCTATGTATCTCTCATTGTAAATTACAGTCATCCCTCAGTATCTCCAGGGAGCTGGTCCCAGGACAACCCCTCAGATACCAAAATCTGCAGAGCCTTGTGGCTTATATAAAATGTTGTAGTATTTGCAGATAACCTATGCACGTCCTCCTGTATTATAAGGAATTATCTCTAGATGCCTTGTAATGCTGAGTACAACTGTTATACTGTATTTTTTATTTGCATTACTTTAATTATCATATTGTTATTTTTATTGCTTCTTATTCCCAGATATTTTTGATATGCAGTTGGTTGAATCCTCAGATGTGGAGCAGGAGGATATAGAAGGCCGACTGTATCCGGACATGGTATGGACAAGGTGTCATCCTGTGAGCCTTTGGGAGAGGACCCTGTCTTAACATGCACTCTGCCTGAGGAGCAGCACACTGCTGTGGTGACTGTCTCTCTCTCCCTCTTTTTTTTTTTTTTTTCTTGAAACAGAGTCTGGCTTTTTTGCCCAGGCTAGAGTGCAATGGCACAATCTCAGCTCACTGAAACCTTCGCCTCCCAGGTTCAAGGATTCTCCTGCCTCAACCTTCCAAGTAGCTGGGATTACAGGCACGCACCGCCACCCCACTTACCTAAGTTTTTGTATTTTTAGTAGAGACAGGGTTTCACCATGTTGGCCTGGCTGATTTTGAACTCCTGTCCTCAAGTGATCCACCCGCCTCAGCCTCCCAAAGTGCTGGGATTACAGGCATGAGCCACCGCGCCCGGCCTCTTTTTGTTTTTGTTAGTCTGTGTGTTGTGGTTTTGGGAATCCAATTCAAAGCACCAACATCTGATGGGAAGCCAGAGAACTTATTCTCCAAGTGGAGGGACACAGGGCAGGCTGCCCTGAACCCCTGGGCGTGTGCAATGGGCGGCCAACCTGGCACCCTTGTCAAGAAGCATTTTGCTCAAAGTAACTGAACTTCCACGAACAGAAGGTGTGTGGGTCCCACACTTGATCTTCCTGGGGGTACTGACTACAGCCATGTCACAGTTTACTCATTGAGATTAGAACAGAATGAACTGCATTATATCATTGTGAGTTTTTATAATTTAATTTCACTTGTTGTAACACAATTATGAAAGATGATTGACGAAAGGAAAATGTGTGTGAAGATGGATGTCATATGCACTTGACACTTGACCCAATTTGATTCTCTCCCAATAGCTGAACATTAAGCATGGACCCTCGTCATTCGCCTTCCTAATCAACAAATATCTTAGTGTCCTTCCTGTGCTGCTGTGGATTTCTGATCACACAAGCCTGCTAGAAACCTGCACGCCTCTGTTCTAGCAGGATGCTAACAATGGTCTTTCTTATTCAGTCCTGAAGGTAGTGGGTATTCCCAAGAGGGGAAGCTGTGGGAGGTTACTTGCAGCTTCTTTGTGGAGCACAGCATCTGGCCTGGGGTCATCTTGGTGGGCCACATGTCTGTGATCAAGGTCACTAGCATGAAGGCAGAGGTGGGAGCAGGAGAGAATGGTAGTATGGGCAGGAAGGTTCCAGGATCTCTTGGAGTTGGCAGTACGACTGGGCTATGAGGCCAGCACTGAGGCCAGCAGGCTTGGAGGCCTGACCTTAAGGAGGCCGAGAAGAGAGGATTAGATGCTAAGGAGCCTTTGAAATCTGCTGACATCAGACCTCCCTGAGGTGCAAGGGTGTCAGGGAATCCCCTGGAAGTTTAGTGTAATAATAATAGGAGTCATCATTTATTGAGGCCGTATTATGTTCAAGAACTTGCTAAACACTTTGTATTTTTATCTCATTTCATCTTTACGTCAGCCCCGGGAGGCAGTATATGAGTCAGGTCTCTCAGTTACAAAAACCAAACCAGGTCAAATTCAAAATAGGGAAGGATTGGAAGTACGGTGGGGTTACTCAGAGAATTGGAGGAGAATTACAGAAACTGAGGCATCCCGAGGGGCCTGGTGACTAGGAAGCAGGAGTAGGTCACCATCAGCACACACCCCACCTCTGCTCCCTTCCAGATGTTGCCTTTTTTCCTCATTTTGCAGTGGAAAGGTCTTCATATAGTGAAAAAGCACACAACTTCCCCTCCTATCATGAGATCTCTTCAAGTGTTCACTTTGAAACATTCTAGAGAAAGACTCTCATGTCCTGCTTGCATGCAGGGGCCAGTCCTGGGCTGATCCCTGTGGCCACAGAGTGGCCCATCTAGGGTATGTGCCCACCCTATGGAAGTTGGGCCTCTTAGAACAAGAAGAGGGGTGGGTACTAGAAAATACGTAGTGCAGGTAGGAATTATTATGTGCTTTGACAGATGAGTGCTGAGGCTTGGAGAGGGTCTGTGGCTTCCCCTGGGATTTGAACCCAAGTCTATTTGACGCTGCATCTTGGCTCTTAATTTGCCCTAGTGCTGCTTTGGCCAATGCCAGATAATCTTCCAGGCACAGGCTCAGGGTGCCCATGGGAGGGCCTGTTGGGAATGAATGGATGAGAACGGGGGTGATATTCAAAATGTTTAACAATCGGTATGGCATGGGCTTTGTATTCATTCCCTGTTGCTGTATTCATTCCCACTCACTGCCACAAGTGATTGGCTTGAGACAGCACAAACTTATCATCTCACGATGCTGAAGGTCAGATGTCCCCAAGTCAGTCTCACTGGGCTAAAACCAAGATGGCAGCAGGGCTGGTTCCTTCCGGAGGTTCCAGGGGAGCATTCATTCTACATCCTTTCCAGCCCTAGGGGTCACTTGCATCCTTGACTCCTGGCTCCTTCCTCAAATTCAACTTCTGCTTCCATTGTCACATCTGCTTCTCCGACTTTGACCCTCTTGGCTCTCTCATAAGGACCTTGGTGACTACATTGCTCCCTACCCCCAGATAGTCCAGGATCACCTCCAGGGTAAGACACTGCCATGTAAGCCCACATCTTCACAGGTTCTGGGGATTAGGATGTTGATATAGTTTGCATGTTTGTCTCCACCCAAATCTCATGTTGAAATGTGATCCCCAGCGTTGGAGGTGGAGCCTGGCGGGAGGTGTTTGGGTCAGGGGGAGAGTCCGTTATGAGTGGCCTGGGCCATCCTCTTGGTCATGAGTGAGTTCACAGGAGATCTGGTTGTTCAAAGCGTGTCGCGCCTCCCCCACTCTCTCTCTCTCTCACTCCCATTCCTGCCATGTGAGACACTTGCTCCTCCTTCACCTTCCGTCATGATTGGAAGCTTCCTGGGCCTCCCTAGAAACCAAGCAGATGCTGGCACTGTGCTTCCTGTATGGTCTACAGAACTATGAGCCAATTAACATTCTTTTCTTTATAAATTATTCAGCCTCAAGAATTCCTTTACAGCAGTGCAAAGATGGCCTAATACACATGTAGACATCCTCAGGGGGCGTTTCTCTGCCCACCGCAGGCATCAGCCAATCCAAGCAGAGGTCACCTGTGCCACTGGGGCAGGGTCTGGAGGCCTCCGTATGGCCAGGTGTCACCTCTGCAGTTGCTAGGTCCTACCAAGGTCCCTGAGTAGGAGCGGGGGCATCAGGCAGGGGCTATTGGCCAACTTGGCATGGACAGATTTCACAGTAACAAGCAGAATGGTGGTCCTGGTGAGTCCCAGCTGGGGATCAGCTGGATGACGGCCGGTGGCCAGGGCATATGTGGAATGCAGCCATGCATGGAGGCTGGCAGACAGGCAGGGTGCTGCCGGAGGGTGAGCCGGAACCTGTGGGAAGGAGTGTGGTGCACTATGAGTGGAGCAAGCTTCATGCTGCTTCCCCTGGCATGGGTGCATCAGGCAGACATGCCCAGAGCTTGGGGGTGAGGGGCTCTGGGGGTTCCATTATGGCTTCAGGTTAGGTCTAGGTGACTAGATACGGAGGCAGAGGAAGCCCAGAGCAAAGATGCTCTGGATGGGAGCAGCACTATCCCAGAAAGGCCTCGCTCCAGACTCTTGGGGTAATTTCAAGCCTAGAGTTTCCTAGGCCAGGGTGGCTTAGTAACGTAATCGATGGAAGGGCATGTGTCATAAAGAAGAAGCCAGTAATGCATCCTCTATCCTATGAGAAGAGCAGCCTCCAGAGAGAGGTGGGGTCTTCCCTTTGGAGTATGAGCTTGTGTCATCCTGGCTTGTCAGGCCCACTGGGATCCAGGCAACCACAGACCTTCCCCGATGGCTGCTAGACCCATGTTGCCCGAAAAGACCACGGGCTGGGGCTGTAGAGAAGAAATTGATTCTGCAAGAGGTCACTGGCTGGAAATAAGGGACTCCTGGCGTGGCCTCTGCTCTAATCCTCTGCATGGAGCTGAGATTTACAGGGAGTTAGGCGGTGCCCACTTCATGAGCGTCCAACCTGTGCGCGTGCCCAGATCGTTGTGCCCAGAAGGACCATGTAATGGGTTGAATGGTGGCCCCCAAAAGATATATCTCTGTCCCAACTCCCAGTACCTTCGGATGTGACCTTATTTGGAAACAGGATTTTTGCAGACATAATTAAGTTAAGGACCTTGAGCTGAGATCATCCTGGAGTTAGACTGGGCTCTAAAGTCAATGACTGAGATCTCATAAAACACAAGAGAGAAATATTTGAGACACAAACCACACACAGAGAAAAGCAATATAAAAATGGAGGTAGACGCCAGGCATGGTGGCTCATGCCTGTAATCCCAGCACCTTGGTAGGCCAACGCGGGCAGATCACCTGAGGTCAGGAGTTTGAGACCAGCCTGGCCAACTTGGTGAAACCCCCCATCTCTACTAAAAATACAAAAATTAGCCAGGCGTGGTGGTGGGCACCTGTAATCTCAGCTACTCGGGAGGCTGAGGCAGGAGAATTGCTTGAACCCAGGAGGCAGAAGTTGCAGTGAGTCAAGATTGCACCACTATACTCCAGCCTGGGCAACAGAAAAAAAAAAAAGGAGGTAGATATCAGAGTGACGCAGCCACCAGCCAAGGAAACCCAAGGATGCCAGCAGCCACGAGATACTAGGAGAGAAGCATGGAACAAATTCTCCCACAGAGCCTGCAGAAGAGGCCAACACTGCCAGCTCCTTGGTTTTGGATCTCTGGGATCCAGAGCCATGAGACTATACGTTTCTGTTCTCTGAAGCGGCCCTGTTTGTGGTAATTGGTTACAGCAGCCCTAGGAAACAAATGCAAGCCTAAATGCTGAGTTTAGTGTTTCGCTCTCTTGCTCTCTCAAAATTCTTACTAACTTTCAAACAAGGGCCTCATGTTTTGACTTTGCCCCTGGCCCCACAAATTACATAGCTGGCCCTAGGCTTAGGTTTCCATGGCAGGTAATGACACTGCCTTTGCCCGCAGCTCTGCTCCTCAGTGTCTCTCGAGAGCAGTGAGATGGACTCTAGACAACAGCGCAGGTGCTGTAATGTTCTCCCTGGAATGGCCCCTTTGCATTCTTCCAAGTGACTTGAAGGCTCATCCACAGGAGGATTTGTTTTTTAATTCCTCAAAGCAGGCTGAGC